TGGTGCAGATTTTGGTTCGTACGACGCCGATTTTGAGGAAACGACGGAGTCCGGAAGATCCTAGGGTAGATATAGGCGGGTACGGAAGACTTGCGCCTTTATCTTTTGTTCTAAGAAGAGGTTTTAGTTTTTGAATTACCGCGGCCCATCCCAAAACCGCGGCTAGTTTTGGTCGGGTAATTCATGGGAACACGAAAGGCATGTGCCTTTATTTTTTTTTATTTTTCTTTTATTTTTATTTTTATTTTATTTTACTTTATTTTGCTTTTCTTGTATTTTACTTTATCGCACATACGGGACTTAGGACTAGCTGATCCGCGGGGACTTGCGAGAGTAGGAGATGGGAGGCAAGGCAATCGGCCTCTTTTCGACAGAAGCGTCTTACGAGACGTACCTTCCTGATGATTCCCTGCAGAGGGATGAAACCGGTAGAGGGGGGCTGCGTTGTCGAGATTCTGGGAAGCTTTTGGCTATGGTGGCGTGTAGGAGTTCAGACACACGTGATGTGAGTGGATGGATATAGACTTTGGAAGTTGAAATCGTCGTGGCAAGGTTTTAAGTATCTGAGTATTATGTCTATCTTGTTACGACATTTTGTTCAGAGCTTTGTCTTCGATTCTAAGTGTGCATGTTCCTGACTTTGTGAGCTACTGTGCTCTTCCCGGCAGACTGTTGCCGCAGTCTGCCACTCGTGGGAACACAGTAACCTGAGTTCTCTGTGCTTAACGGTGGCTGTGAGTTTACGGGTAGATAAGGATGAACGACGTAGCATAGGAACGTATAGAGGATCAGTCGAAAGGAGTATGGAAAAGAGGACACTTAAGATGAAGTAAGATTCATGTTCGTAGGATTGGGTCTGATAACTATCGGTGCAGGGATATAGGATCAATGTGCCGCAATTCTGTGAGAGGTGTGAAAAAGTACGGAGAAATACGAGGGGTAGGGTGCTCATTGATCGTATCAGGTTGATCCAACTGATTGACGACTACGTGGAGAGGACAATTCGTCCAGTCATTGCAACTGCGAGGTTTATTACGGAACCCAGGCTTCGGAGGGGAGTGTATAGGCAAGTACAGATCATTCTGGGACGCATATCGAGAACGCTACGTTATCTGAGGACTAGGAGGATTGAACCTGCTGAGGTAGAAGAAATAGCGGAGATTTGGGGAGTGTGATCGTGTATTACGATGTATACCAATGGAGGTAACAACGGTGGTAACATGAATACAGGCGGGATGGGTGGGAACAACAACAACGGGAATTGGGGAGGCAGACAAGGTGGGCCAGTATGCTATGAATGTGGGAAGACTGGGCACATAGCCCGCGACTGCTGGGCAAAACGGGGGAAACCGGTACAGCACGAGGACGAGATACATATCTACGAAAATGGGAAGAGGAGGCAGAACGACAACGGACGAAAGAAGAGAAGGAGAGAAAACGAGAACTGGATATGGCTCGGAGGACAGAGGAGATCAGGATGCAACTACAGGCAGAGATTGCGGAGAAATGGAGAAGACAACAAGAGGAGGTTGCAGAGAAGGTGAAATGTGCTAGCCCGAAGATCTCACCGGACAGCAAGACAACAATGAAGACGAAGGAGAGGAAGAAGAAGACGAAGAAGTCTACGAAGAAGCAGAAAGGGAAGAAGAGGATTCTGGTGTCTTCTTCGAGCTCTCGTCAGGATCAGGAGAAGAGAGTAGCGAACCAACATCTGAGGACTCGTCAGACACAGAAGGAGAGGCACTACGCTTAGTCAAGCTACTACGGGGGAAAAAACTGAAGGCGAAGTCAAGATGCAAACAGACAAAGAAGAAAGACACTAGGAGAACGCCAATGAGGACATATGAAAAGGGAGAGACGTCGAAGCAGGATACGACGCCAGGCTCTCTGACAAGGACAGGGGGGCTCGAGTCTAGGACTCCATTTTCGGCCGGATACAAAGGTGTTAGTGCAGGCTGCTCACAAGAAGGCTTCATCAATTATACATTTGCAGTTTTGAAGCAGTACTCTATGAAGAAGGTACCAGATCTTAGAGAGATCTGCGACAAGTATGGGATCAAGGCGACCAGGAAGGATGAAATGGTGATGGAGTTGGTGAAAAGACAGACGAAAGTGGCGTACGAAGGGTTCTTCACTACACCGTTTGGAAAGAAGACAACGTCTTTGAAGATTGGCCAGGAAGGGGATGACGATGACAAGACACCGATTGAAGTCGTGAAGACGACGATCACAACAAGAGGGAAGTCTAGACAGGGAGACACACCAAGGGTTACACTTCGTTCGGCACCGACACAAGAAATAGAGGAACAGTCGAGTTGACTAGCACCGCCCCCAGATAAGGATGTGCTCTGGACTACACTGGGTACGTGCCTGACGGAACGAGAAAACCTATGGGGGCGAGGGGCTATGGTAGAACAAGTTGCGGTGATAGAATGACGCATTACCACGACGACGTTATTGCTAGGACTGGCCGGAGAAATCAAGTGGATGGATACATACATTGACAAGCTTGAAGTCAGTGAGGACACTTTGGATTTGAAGACCGGAGGAACATACATTATCATGAGCCCATGGTCCAAGCGAGTCTACGTCGACTACACAGCGCGGCCGATCATTCAAAGGTGGAAACAACACGTACTTGTAGCCAGATCGAAGTCACTAGGCAAGTCGCCACAACTCTATCGATGGATGAGGCAGTTCGGGATCAACAATTTTGTGATCATACCGACCAAACATACAACCGAAGCGGATGACTACGTGTTCGAGCGACATCTGATTCGCGACCTTTCACCAAGCCTCAATACGCTTGGGACAAGAACACGGGAGGCACGGAGATCACGACGACGGAAGGGCAGGCGAGAGAGGAAGAACCGAGGTGATAAGAAGGGAGGGAGAAGAGTGGTCACATTTGTCACTAACGACGGACCACGGACATCGTTACTAAACTGGTTAGACGAGGTGCAAGAGAGGAAGATAGGACAGTGCGAAGTGGACATCGTGGCGGGGACGAGTTGGGCTGATGATTGGAAGATGATCGTCTCAAAGTACAGTGAGACCAGGGTACGACTGCAAGGACGGATCAATTTGCTCAAGAATGCGAAGAATTCATGCCAGCTTGGGGGAAAGTGCGTTTTTATGAAGTTAGTGAGGACCACGACGAGCACAGAGAGAAACAAGATCATGCTGAGACGACTGCTGAACCAACCACGGATGGCGACTTCACTGGTCAGATACAACACCAGGAAACTCGTGGGGCTGTACAGGGCAGCGGGGATGTTTGCAAAGAAAGAAACGAGGGACAGACTAAAGGTGAAGTTAGATCGGGCACTGAGAAAGAAGACTGGAGTAAGTGTGCGGCGGAAGCTAACAGTCAAGTATCCATACTGTAACACAGTACTCAAGTCTGAGGTCAGAAGGCGTGTGGAAGAGATCATTGATGCGAGAGTTGCTGACGTTGCGGTTGCCACGTTTGTGAAGCGGAAAGTCAGGATTGTTAATACGAAGAACCAGACTGTGGCGGAAATCATCCATACGCATAGGAAGTACGCACACACACTTCCTCTGAGCTGCACATGTGCGAACCATGGTTTGGAAAAACATGACGGGCATGTAATGACAAGATTCGCGGATATGCCGCAAGTTTCGGTGTTCCTCAAGAATTCGAGAAACATAACGGTTTGTGGGAAACCGAAGATTAAGGAGGAATTAACCAACGGGTTAATGACAACAACTAGATATTTGAAGCATGGGACTGAGACACCGGTGGATGTTGCACGATGCTTCATGGCTAGCACGACCAAGAGGACGGCGTGGACCGACTATGAGGTTAGGAGTTGGGCATCACAGTATGACGGACTCGTGCTCGCTCCAATAGATAGAAACATTGGAGATACAGCGGTAGTGTGTCCGATACTGTATAGACATGGCTTTGGGAGCATGTTCACGTGGAATTCTGATTACAGGAGGATTGATAGTACGGAGGAAGAAGTTTTGCAAGATGCGAAGAGGGATTATGAGATAGCAGATTTGGGAAAGATTGGAAAGTGGAGGACAAAAGGACGACTCGGGAGGGCATATATTATCCCGAAAGACAAAGATTTATGCAAATGGAGACCTATCGCACCAGCATGCAGTGACCTGACCATACTGGGACAACGCCGGTGTGCTAGGGCACTGTACTGCTTTGTTTCCAGATACGAGCGATGTTCGAATTTTCATCTGAACTCGACGTATACTCTGAGACAAGAATTGGTGAGTGTAGGGGACAAGCTGAGGACGGTAGGGTGTAGCAGGGCTATCGGCAGATGTTATGATATCAAGGAGATGTTCTCCTCGATACCACACAGTACAGTCAGACAGGCAGTTTTCGAACTCCTCAGGCATTTTGAGGACCGAGGAAGGCAGCAAGTAAAGGTAGCCATGAGAGGAAAACTTTGTGTCATTGCTAAGACAAACAGAAAGGAAGCAGGGTATATCAAGGTGAGAATTCCAGGTATCCTGAAGATGGTCAAGTTTGACCTTCAACACGCATATATGCGCTGCGGAGAGGTTATTAAGAGGCAAGTAGTAGGTGTTCCTATGGGAAAGACTATGAGTCCTGTGCTAGCTACAATTACATGCACGATGGCAGAAGTGAAATTCTTACGATCACTTGGGGCTGACAGTAAGCTCGTGAGGGGATGGAGGATGGTTGACGATGTTTCGATTATCGTCGGATGTAGTGATGAGACTGATTCGTGGAAGAAAGTGGAAGACATTCTTGATGAGTTTGGAGACTCCTATGATCGAAATCTGAAGCTCGTTAGGAAAGATGAAGGCATGAATACCTGAGAGCAGGTTAACCGAGCACCCATTTTTCAGGCCCATTTATAAAAAAACGAGACAGTCATTTTAACAACTTGAAATTCCAAAAAAACATGAAATTTGAACCCAAAACCCTAATTTCAGAAATTTCATGCCTGAAAACCAGATGCCCCGTTAACCTCTTGTGGAATACCTGGGACTTTATTGGGGGACGGGTGTATGTCATAAGTGAGCCCCTGCACCTACATTTCATCCAGGAAACGAAGAACACCGTTTCACTCCGTAGCAGCGGGACATTGCGCTACCAGTCCATGCAAGACTTCAATAGTTACTCAGATAGGAAGTCCAAGAAGGGAGTTTTTATGGCTACTTTGAAGAGGCTCTGGCAATCCTCAACGTCTGGTGCACTATGTATTGGCTCTATCGTGTACGCGCTGCTTGAGAGCAACCTCCGGGGATATACCTCGGAGGTCTCTCTCGGGGCCTTGGCCAAGTTGGCCAGAATTACGGAGGAACCAATGCTTAGGACTCTGGGGGAAATGCTTTGGATATTGTTTACCGGGAAGGTCGGGCTCGAACACACGACCTACAAAGGGAGACAGTTACCACGGTCACGAGCCGGAAGGAACACTGTGATCTRAGCAACAGGACAGGCTGTAACYGCCCGATAAAGACGGACACATGTAYTRGGCCAAAAMGGAGCGCTCGGTACAGACGGCGRGTTTCGTTTCGTTTCGTTTYGTTTCAGTCTTTGCTTTCGTTTTTTYAGTTTGCTTTCATYTGACTTTCGAGAGTGYCGTGGTGCAGATTTTGGTTCGTACGACGCCGATTTTGAGGAAACGACGGAGTCCGGAAGATCCTAGGGTAGATATAGGCGGGTACGRAAGACTTGCGCCTTTATCTTTTGTTCTAAGAAGAGGTTTTAGTTTTTGAATTACCGCGGCCCATCCCAAAACCGCGGCTAGTTTTGGTCGGGTAATCATGGGAACACGAAAGGCATGTGCCTTTATTTTCTTTTATTTTTCTTTTATTTTTATTTTTATTTTATTTTATTTTATTTCGCTTTTCTTGTATTTTACTTTATCGCACATACGGGACTTAGGACTAGCCGATCCGCGGGGACTTGCGAGAGTAGGAGATAAAAGAACGGGAGGCAAGGCAATCGGCCTCTTTTCGACAAAAGCGTCTTACGAGACGTACCTTCCTGATGATTCCCTGCAGAGGGATGAAACCGGTAGAGGGGCTGCGTTGTCGAGATTCTGGGAAGCTTTCGGCTATGGTGGCGTATAGGAGTTCAGGCATGCGTGATGTGAATGAATGGATATAGACTTTGGAAGTTGAAATCGCCGTGGCAAGGTTTTAAGTATCAGAGTATTATGTTTATCTTGTTACGACATTTTATTCAGAGCTTTGTCTTCGATTCTAAGTGTGCATGTTCCTGACTCTGTGAGCTACTG